TTATTATTATTATTATTATTATTATTATTATTATTATTATTATTATTATCTCATCCATGGAATGATGAGAGTTGTAGACCAGAGCTAGGAAAAACTGCCATTAACTACACAGTTCCAGTCTCATAATAACAAACCATACTTTATGAAAACAGTTGCTAAATTTTCTATTTCCATGACTGCCATGTGGAATTTTGTTTGTGTAACAACAGTGACCATGCTCCCGAAAAAAATATCCAATTAGTATTTTTCTATGTTGTCTTACAGCCTGAGTTTGTACATAGGTTTAAACCAAATATATTATCTAAATCCAAGTGACCATGACCGAACAAACCCATGGTTTAATAAAATACTAGATTCAGGAAATATACGTTTGATCTCATCAGAAAGAAATGAATCTGGTTCATCAGAAAAAAAAATGAATCTAGTATCAGATCCCTCAATTTCTCCAATTTTAATTTGGGTGGAGTTTGGACAGAGTATAACTATGGTGGAGAGGAAGATGAGTTTGAAGGCCCCTTGTATGGGAGATGGAAACTAGCAAAAGAGGCGACCCAGTATCCTAAATCTCATTGCTCCACCAGTTTCACTAAGGGCAAGGGATAATGAGGGTTGCAGTCCAAAATCTCTGGAGGACATCTGATTATCTACATGTGGCTCCCCACTTGTCCCTCCTATGAGATACATAGAAATTCACAGTCACTGCTTGCTTAACCCATTAGAGGACAGTAACTATTGATTCACAGCAATCCTCTCAGTGCATTTAGTCCCACTGGAAAAAAACGGGGCATTTAAATACCTTTAACTATGAGTTGCCTTGTAGCCCTTTGAGATGTCAGTTTAACGGCAACTCTGTGGAATGCAAAGGATTGCAGGGTATATATCCTAATTCTCTTCTGTATGTGTGGCACAGCGTTGGAAGATGAATTAGGTACTTTGTGTCAAGTGACCTACTTTTCATTTAGCTTTTTATTTGCCTCTGTTCTGATAATTCCTAACCCTCAGCTGGTTAAAAAGATTAACAGTCTCAACTGAGGAGGCTATTGCAGGCAGATTGCAACAAATGGTACCTTCCAATGTCCCCTGTATGAAGGGATACCTAAGTGACTTTGTCTATTGCTTTGGCTGTTTTTTTGACCGTTGTGCATGTTTTTCTTTTTTCCTTTTTCTTTCCCCCTTCCCCATTCCTAAAGTAAATGAAATATCCCCTATGCAGATGGGATTACAGTGAGATTTACTGAGCAAATTCTGTTTCTGTTGCACAGGGATTGATACCCCAACTATGGAATATTGTTTTTTGTTTGTTTTCTAACTAGATCCAAATCTGTATTGTAGTGGCTTGTTTTGATTCCTTACACTAATAAACATGAATCAGGAGTAAAAATAAAATAAAATAAAATAAAACAAAGCTTTATGGCAGGTTTGGGAAATGTATAATTTTCATTGGAAATAGTTGTGGCGAACTCTCTTTTCTTTCGCCATTATTTGCCAAAGTTTTAAAAAAGGAGTCTACTTGCACATATGGGGTCTTTGATTATGACTATTCGTTGTTTTGTGTTCATTGCATTTTGTTTCTTTGTTTTTAAATGTCTCGCAATTTGTAAGCCACCCAGAGTTGCTAGGAGTTGGGCAGCATATTAATTTAATAAATTATTATCAGCAAAACTTCTCATTCTATTTTTCTGTTGTTGTTAGTGTTCATATTAGCTTAACTCTCCAAGTGCTTCAGTGCATTTTAAAAAGAATACATCACTGCCACACTTGATGGGGCAAGCAGTCATTGTAAGCACTGGGTCTAGTCATACATGCTTATCTCTGTTGATAAATATGGTAGAAAAAGTTGGAACAATCAACTGGGATTGAAGTAGCTGCCAAATCAAAGGCAAACAGTTGTGGCATTCCGTATTAGGGTTTTATTGTATGTATAAAATCCCAAATCTTAGATAGTTTCCCCCCACTCCAATTAATTTCTTGTATTGGGAGAAGTGTTATAATTGCTTCATTTCCGGGTAAAATTGCTTGTTGCTTAAATATATAATTAGCTTTTTTGATATAAGCAAAGATGGGAAAGCGTGATCTAATATGAAAATCTATGTCTGTGATTTTAACATTTGGCTGTGCTAATTCCACGAATAAATGTGCAAATCTGAATTGACAGGGGATCCAACGAAGTGAATTTCTTTTTTGTTTTGTGAGAGAATACATTCTTTGTATGTTGAATTTGTGGTCTTTCCAATTATTAAGTAAATCCCCAGATTATAATAACAATTTTCTTCATATTCCTGCACTGCGTTAGTCAAAGTAGATTGTCTAAGTATAAAATAGTCTGGTATATTTTAATGACCCTTCTCCTCTGACACTAATTTATAGCTATTTTCTTTAGTGAATGGCCCATGGCATGGAAATTATTTTATGATGGCATTTATTTTCTCTTAGCATTGTTGCCATCTAACATAGCAATGAATCATGAGATTCCAGTGTGATCTGATATCTCCTTGTATTACTGATGTACTTGGAATGTATTGGAAAGTAAGAGGGAATTTTGTAGTGACAGATATGTTGTGGGTGATCTCTGATAGGAAGTCTGTCAGAAGATTCACTTTGAAAGTGGAGAAGTTCTCAACTTTCAGAAACCCTGTATAGTTTTAAATTAAAATATTAGCTTTTTCACTGAGTATCTGTTGAAAAACTCCAATACATTAGCATAAGAAATATTGAAAGTAGGCTTCCCTGTGTTTGAGAAATCATTTATATATATACAAATACATATAGATGTGTGCTACTTTAATTAGTTGTCTCCAAAATGCTCAAGATGGGTAAGTTTTTAAAATAAGAATATTGAGCAGCGCTGTTTTCCTTCAGAGAAATTTCAAGCACTTTCTTAAGAGTTGTATACCACAGGGAATTTCAGAGAGCATAGCTTTTGTTTCCTGAAATCCCTTCTCCTGGACTTTTAAAGGCCTTAGGATCTTTTTTCTGTTTTGCATCTGGTCATCTTGCACAGAGATCTTGGGAATTTCAAGGTGTCTAAAATAGGTTTAACAGTGCTGCTTTGTGATCAGGTTTCTCCAAAGTGTTCCTTCAGATACTTTGAATTTCAAGTCTCAGAATTCACTTCTATTGTAGGAATTGGTTCAATATGCCTTTTGAGGTTCCAAACTGTGGATGCAAAAGATTGTAACTGTCTTTTACTTACCAATGTATTGTGTCTTGGAATGTTATAAAAACTAAGCTCAGATTGACACATAATAATACACACACACACACACACAAATATTTGACTCTAGTATGCAAACCTTATTGCAGTCAGCGGAACAGATCTAAGCTCTTATATTTTGCATTAAAACTCCTTGCAGATTCTAAATCAGGTTGAATTGATAAAAAATGAAGGCTGAGCAGAAGCTTGTTAGGCTCTTCCTCTTTTCTCTTGCAGCCTCTGTATTCGATGCCAGAAAGTGCACAATTCATGAAAAAGAACAAGAACGACAGCAGTGGCAGTAGCCATGAAAGCAGCAGTGACATATCTGAATGGGAAGAGGAAGCTGAGAAAGAAGATGAAAATGGAAAGAAAGAGAAAAATGTCTCATTTGATCTTGAAGATAGAAAATTAATAGAGCGATCCAGTAAGTTATAGGAGGGGAATTGATTAATTTTTACATTAAAATAGTTATTTTTTTTTAAAAAAAAGGAGATTCCCTGGTCATTTAATTTTGTAAGACTCCTCGATTAAGAATGTTTTCTAAACATGGAAACGTATGTGATATCTTGAAATACTTCAGAAATGATATAATACAGTGGTGGCGAACCTATGGCACGGGTGCCAGAGGCGGCACTCAGAGCCCTCTCTGTGGGCATGCGCGCCGTCATCCCAGTCCTAGGCCTTCAGCTGGGTTTTATAAAACCTTTTCGCTTTAGGCCTCCCCCGCCGTGTACAAAAAAAAGGTTCAATCAATCAGTCAATTTCAAGTTCTTGCGGGAAAAAAAAGATCTTGCAAAGTTGGAATTGATTGATTGAACTTTTTAGTCCCACCCAGTCTGCTGTTACCACCACAGCCATGCCCACCCAATGGGCCACACCCACCCAATGGGCCACGCCCACCCGGCACCCGACGATGCATAAGTGGGTTTTGGGTTGCAGTTTGGGCACTCAGTCTCTAAAAGGTTCGCCATCACTGATATAATATATGTTTTCTTGTTATGGGGAGGCAGAAAAAGGGTATTATAAGAATTAAAGCACATTTAATTTTTTTTTAAAAAACCCACTCCTCCCCCATATGCCTGTTGATTGTTTTTCTCCCACAGTCCTCATAATTTAACAGCAAGGAGACCATAACTACAATCCAACACAATTGGCTATATTGGCTGGGATTGCTATGAGTTAGTTCAGCATCCTTAGTCTGAACTGAACAAATAAATCAGGCAATTGGACTAACACATTTGGTGGAGTAATAATATTTGATAATGAGCAAAACGCAGGAAGCGAGAATCTAAATGAAGCTCTGAGGGCACTGAAGTCTGTAGTCTACATGGCATAATAGAAAAGCTCCGTTGATTATAATTCAAGATATTTTGAATTACACCATTACCACTCACAATTAACTAAGGGAAGATTCTGAAAGAGATTGTGGTTTTGCTATTAGGTCTTTTTTGATAGCTATCAAAAGTGTTGGCACCTGTGTGTGGGTACTCTGTGTGCACGGTGGTGATTCAAAGGAACTCTCTTTATTGAATTTAATTTGTGTTTGTGTGTATATTTAAGCCTATTTAATGTTTTATATGTAGATTTATAATGCAGCATCCGTGGGAAAGAGACATACTGCAAGAACGTGGCCCGTAGTAATATTGCTCAATATAATCTGGTATAGATTATTATTTTTTTTCTTAAGAATCATGGGATGGGCGAAAATTAACAGGAGTGACACTCAGTATTTATCTGATATATTTTATGTTTCCATAAGATTTGATAGGATGGGAGAAATGAACCATTTATACTTCTGCTAAGCCAGGGGTAGGCAACCTTGTCTCTTTGATGACTTGTGGACTTCAATACCCAGAATTCCAGAACTAGCTATGCTGATTCAAGAATTCTGGGAGTTGAAGTCCACAAGTCATCAAAGAGCCAAGGTTGCCTACCCTTGTGCTAGGCTAAAGAGATGGGAATGAATCAGGTGAGTATAGAGAAAAGTAAATTCTCTTAATCTTACTTCTTTGATTCTTTCCTCATCAGTTTTGCATATGTGCATGGTAAAGTCCAGGGTATTGGAAAATAAGACCCAGGGAAGATATTTAAAGGCCACTTGCAACATTGGGTTGAAAAGTCAAAAAAAAAAATCCACATAAAATGGGCATACACAGGAAGAACAAGAATTCAGAATATATCCTGAGCAGATGCATGCAAGTTTGGAAGTTGTTACAGTTTTTTTAGTCTACAATTGTGATTTGGGAGAGGAGTTGAGTCTTTTGTATTCATTTCCAGGCAGAATGCACTGGAAGCAGCCTCTTAAAAAAGTCCCATCTTATGTGTCTACCACCTCCTCGACTAGTCCTATCAGGCGTTCTGTAAGCTGCCCACGATCCATTTCAGCTTTGACTATGCAAATACAAGCTGACAAACGCCCTTTCACAGCCAAACCAGCAATGCTTCTCTCTCGGTCATCACTTGCGAGTAGATCACACTCTTTAAATAGAGGTTCATCTGCTATCAAAGTGTCTCACACTGCCAACCAAGGTTCTGTGCATTCATCTGGGGTAAGTTAGCAAAGTATGTCAATTTTGTAATAGCAAATATTAATGAAGTATTTGGGTGGGTGGGGGAAGATGAAGAGCAATGGGTTTAATATTTTCCATTCATTTTGCTATCCAAACCATTATTTTTTAAAAAAAGTTACAGTGAGAAATTTAACTAGTTGCACTTGTGGTCAGGGGAAATAAAAGTGGCTTGGGCATTGTATTCTACACAACCACCTTGTTCTAAATGAAATTTTGGCTTCAAATCACAACATGAAAAAGTTTTATAAGAACTATACATTTGGATAATCAGAAGATTTGGAATCATTAGGAAAAAAAATAAAACCTAGAGGGAGGTTTTTGCAGAAACTCCTGGGGGTTGGGAATTGGTGTACCTATTTTATCAGATGAGTAAGGATTATTTGGTTTAGTTTTCTTTAGTTTTTCTTTTACATGTATATATACATGTGTATATTTTAAAAAGAATTCTTGCTCTTCATGGTGATAATTCTTGGCAATAACCACCAGTGATACTCCATCACTGGAGGTTTTTAAGAAGAGATTGGACAGCCACTTGTCTGGAATGGCATAGGGCAGTGGTGGCGAACCTATGGTACGCGTGCCAGAGGCAGCACTCGGAGCCCACTCTGTGGGCACACGCACCGTTGCCCCAGCCCCACCTCCTCCCACGGACCCCTCCTAACCAGCAGCACTCAGGAGGAGAGTCGCCCCCGGGCACGGCCCACGCAATGCTGCGCAGCCAAGGACATGGTAGCCGGGCAGCGGGGGCAAGACTCCGCCCTTGCACCCCATCGCGCTCAGATAATGCTGCAGGGTACGGGTGGAGGGCGTGGCCACCATTGTGCTGCTGGGCTGTCTGGCTGATCTGTGGCAGGCCATGGAGGTGGTGGGTGGTCCAGCGGGCACGGCGGAGCGGGGATGGTTGGGTGGTGGTGGTTTTGGGGCACTCGGTCTCTAAAAGTTTTGGATCTCCCTCTATAAAGCTTCAACCAGCTAAAACAATTGCTTTTTGTCCTATCCTTGGGAGCTATAAAAAATAAATCCATACTGTCTTCTCTATGACATACCTTTGAGCATATGAAGACTGGTATCCTATCTTACCGTAGTCTTTTCTTCTTTAGGCTCAATTTGCCTAGTTCCTTTAACTATTCATCATAGGATTTAACTTCCAGGCAATTCCAGCATTCGTTTTTGCACTTACAATTTCTCAGCCTCCTTCTTGTATTGTGGCAATCAGTATTGGTTACAGTATTCTAGATGCATTCGCACTATTGCAGTGTGAAAACAGAGTTATTACTTTCTATTTTTAAGTTATTTTTTTAGTATTTACATTGTATATTAGTTTAGTTATGGATTATTCCTTCCATGTTAGTCACTGTGTTTTTTCTTATTGTGTTTATTCATGGTTGTTATTGTTGTTTGCCACCAAACAACAACAACATTTTTTTTTAAAGTAGTTGGAGTTGGATAAAAAAATTAAAGTCAATTTTCAGGAAAATTGTCAGGAAATTACATTAAAAGCTATAAACATGTGAAATTACATATAAATATTCTATTTGTTAAGAAAACTTGCAAAGTAAAATTGTATTTTTAAAAATAGATCTTAAAAATATTTAAAATGATGGACTGGAATACTGCCCCGCTAACTTGAAGAATCAATTGAATTGAATTTATAATGATCCACATATTTCTACTGTACAGGTGAGGCAGTCCATGGCAAAGAGCTAAATAGCTTCTTTCTTAGGTGAAGAGGGCTATAGAGCTTCTATGAGCATCATTGACTGGAAAATCTTTAGGGAGGAGTTTCATGCAAACTTCTTTGCTACTGCAAGTGATGGGGAGATTTTCCATTTTAAACACTATAGGAGAAAAAATATCCTGAAAGAGCCTTTATTCAGATTTTAAAAAATTAATTAATTTGTTCCTCCAAATTTAATTTTTCTGGGAAATTCTTCAGCTCCTCAACATTTCTTTCCCCCCATTTAAGATTACCAGATTTGGATTGCAAAATGTAGATGACCACTAGATGTCAGTAAAGATATATATATATATATAGAACATTCAAAATCTGCTGCTATCTTGTGGTTGTTTGAATTTTTGCAGACTAGAATTGGTGAGTTCGCCACCTGCCCCCAAATGCTGCAGATACTCCTAATGGTGATTTGCTGAAATAGGTTGTACATATTATATTACTTCTTTACAAGTAAGCATAGGGTCTTGTATTCAGCCAGCCAGATAAATGGAAGTGTTTTTAAAATGTAGAAAAAGTATTTATTTAGAACAGCATCTATGATTTGAATTCAGCTATGAGAAATTTACAGTGCATTTATTCATTATTAACCCTTAGCACTTTAAATCAGTTACATTATCCATTGCTACAAAATAAATGGAGTCCATGATTATGTACGGTTCATTAATACTTTCAACCTATTTCTGTATTAATAATTACAAAGGTACACCATATGTTTAAATAGCACTTTATTCCATAATTCATAGAGCCTTATGCCACGCAGGAATCACGCTGATATAGTGGGCCTTCGTTTTCTTCTCTTAACCTCTTTCTACCTCTCCGATCATGCTCTGGAGGGTTCCCAAACACATTAGAGAAAATTTGCACAGAGGGAGGAATTTGCAAGAAAAAGAAGCTATCCATTTACTTTAAAAACCTCTGTTGAATTCAGGGAAGCCAGCAAGGATAGAAATAGCTATGTGAGAATAGTCCATGGGCAAAATCTTTTATGCTCATGAGTATCACAAATTACCCTTAGTGGTACAATTAAACAATTCTGGTCTCCTTTTCTTTAGGGAAATAAGGATTATGGGCAAAAGAAATGCCGTAAGCCTCTAAAACTATTTGCACTCTTTGCTCACTCTACTCGTACCCAAAGTTTTAGTTTTTCCCTTGATCCAAGGACCCCTTGGAGACCAAAAATAATTTTTATGAAGTGTGCAGCATATAGTCACACGAAAGGGGCGCATCCTACTTTATACAGGTAATCCCCGACTTACGATCACTATTGAGTCCAAATTTTCTGTTGCTAAGTAAGACAGTGGTTAAGTGAATTTTGCCCCATTTTACGATCTTTTTTGCCACAGTTGTTAAGTGAATCATTGCAGTTGTTAAGTGAGTAACATGGTAATTGATTCTGGCTTCCCCATTGACTTTGCTGGTCAGAAGGGTGCGAAAAGTGATCACATGACCCTGAGACACTGCAACCGTCATAAATATGTACCAATTGCCAAACATCCGAATTTTGATCATGTTTGATCATGTGACCAAATGCTGGAATGCTGCAACGGTTGTAAGTGTAAAAAACGGTCAAAAGTCACGCTTTCAGTGTTGTTGTAACTTCAAACGGTCACTAAATGAATGGTTGTAAGTCAAGGACTACCTATACCAGCCCAGGAGACTATTTTGAAAGAACCATAAAAACAGGGTAAATATGGCTTCTTGGCCTATTAATTTTCTTCTTGACTGTATAAGAGTGCTGTTTCCTTCTTTATTAATTAATCCACATTTATAAAATAAACTCCATAAGAATATATAGACGGCCTGTATGGGTAGGCAGGTCAAACTGGCTTCCATGCCTGCGATACCTCCAAGAGATCATAAATTAAAGTATGCTATTGTATTTATTTCCATTGTATGAATAGTGTTGTTGTCAAGGAAGGTATTATTTAGAATCTGTGTTTCCCTGAAAATAAGACCGGGTCTTATTCTTTTTTTTTTTGCCTCCAAAAGAGGCACCAGGCATCGGGGGATGTCTTTTATACTCAAATCCGGCACCGACAGCCCAGCCCAGCAGGTCCACTTCTTCTGGGGCCGAAGGGGCATCTTCATTCTGCAGCTGCATGACGGCCTGCATTTTGTAGCCAAGCCTTTCCAGAAGGCCTATGCAGCCGAGTACCGAGCTATGGATTTAACCCATAGCTCGGTCCTCGGCTGCAGAGGTCTTGCAGAACCAAGCTATGGATTGAATCCATAGCTCGGTTCTTGGCTACACAGGCCTTCCGTAAAGGCCTGTGACTGAGAAATGCAGGCCGGGCTGCAGAAGACGCTGCAGAAGAAGTGGGACAGTGAGGAGAAGCCTGGCTGCAAGGTAAGTGGGTGCGGGGCACGTGGGGCAGATCCACACCCCTACCCCCACCCTAGCTTGATTTTTAAGTATGTGCCTTGCCCACAAACTAGGGCTTATTTTTGGGGTAGGGCTTATATTAGGCCCACCCACAAAAATTAAGCTAGGGCTTATTTTAGGACTAGCCCTTACTTTCGGGGAAACATGGTATATTAAAGAGCAAGCTGTTAATTCAGTTTTATATGGAAAGAACTGACAATTTAAGCACTGAATGATTTTGCAGCTTACTGACACTGAAACAGAATTTTTCAGCTATCTCATACTCTTCGTCCTGGCTTGGCAGGGTGAAATGCAGCAGGGAACAAGGGAACAGGAAGAATTCTTGACAAAGGAAACTTTAGCCATTTTCAGTGACATGAAGATACGATACCCAGGGAAAACAAACGAAGAAGCAGATCTAATCATCGAAGATGTAAGTAGCACAGAAGAACGTTGTTATTAAGGCAAACTTTAGTTGCGGGTGAGGTGGCTGTTGCTGAAACCTGCTGAGCAGTAGTACTACACACCATGTTTTGCAGTGATAACCGAGTGATAAACAGAACGGGAAAGTGATAGACAAAATATCCTCACAGAAAAACTTCCTCAGAGAAATTGGAGGTGTTGATTGATTTGATAACAGCATTTTTATCCCATTCAACTGCCAAAAAGATTTGTATGTAATCAGTAAACAAGGTACATTGTGCCTGCAGGCACACCGTCTAAAACCTGACACACTAAAAAGTGTTGTGGGTGTAGGGGGGAAGTGTAGGAAATTAAAAAAAAAAAGTCTCTGGCACTCACTTATCAAGATAAATGGTAGTTCTTGCAATGAAGAACTGCAGTGGAAGCAGTTTAGGGACAGAAAAAGCCCCTTGAACCCAATTTTCAGCAAGTTTGCATTGTTTTCCTTATCTCTCTGGGAGGCTTGTTCTTCTGAAATCAATCCAGCACAAGTATTCCAGTTTGTAAACAGTGAGGATCAAGGGTGTCCAAACGTCTGGCTTGCTTGCACTCCATTGAATGAAGAGGAATTGTCTTCGGCTGCATATAAATATATATAATACTAGCTGTACCAGGCCACGCGTTGCTGTGGCTCAGTCTGGTTAAATTTACGTCCAACAGATGGCACTGTTTTTCAAAAAAAGCATGTTTTTATCTGTCACAGGTGTGACATCTATATAATAGTAGGTATATAAAAACACGCGCGTATGCGAATGCAACGTTATGTCAAAATTTCAAAGCAATCGATGAAGAACTTTCGGAGATTTAAGATTTTGAACAAACGAACATTTACATTTTTATTTATATAGAAGATAGTTAAGGGTGTATAAATCACATAATGTTAAAAGTTTATGATCTTGTGGGAATACTAGCTGTCCATGGCTACATGCAGATTGGGCATGCCTGGTGTAGATGGGATGTGGATGGCTTTTCTACCTGACTTGAGTTTTTCTAAAGTCATGAAATATTTGGGAAAAGATTATTTTTTTCTGGGGCAAATAAATTACTGTCAATATATAGTATGTAATCTGGCTTGTTTGTCTGAGCTATATATAATTTTTTCAAAGTAGCACCTTACATGTTGGGGAAGCTACAATATAAGCTAGAAAGCCAGGTACTAAAAAGTTTTCTAAAAATATGGATTACATTACAATGATCAATCTTCTCAATTATTGCATGTCTTTGCTAAGACATGCTAAGATTTGCAGTTCAAAAGCTTATGCCACAATCAACTTATTATTGTTTAAGATGACACAGAATACATTATGTATGTTCCATAGCTACTACATGAGACTGCTTTTCAATTAATAATAACTTTTGGAAAGATTAGATCCTAATTGTGATTGGTTTATTACCAGAATATTGTTGCACTATTGCTTTTTTTTTTTTTTTTTGCTGTGGGCAGAAAGGCATCTGAATATAATTTAAGTTGCTGGACGTTTCCATCCTTGGTGGAGGGAGGAGAATATGAAACTTCTTTTACTTTCAGATGTAAATATCATCAATATTGCTAGTCTTTCAGCATAACATATTTGTGCCATCTAGTGGCACAATTGGAAAAGTACTCAGTAGAACTACCTATGGCACAGCATTTTAAAAGAATGTTTATGTTGCAAAGAAATGCTTTAACATCATGTTATGTTTCCAAAATCTAGCCTTCCTATACTTGTACACAAAGATGACAGCTGTAAAACAGAACAAATAGAAAATGCGCACTTAGGAACACTTAAGATATTTCCAGTTGAGTATTAGCAGATTCAGCAGCAATGGGAATCTTTTTGAATTGCTAATTCCTAAACAGAAATGTTCAATTTAGAGAAATGTTTTGAAGAGCATCTTTTGAAGGGCATCTTTCAGTCCATTTAAAAATGAGCCACGAGATGGCTAGGTTTTTGGTGATATTAAACTGTTCATAGTTCATGGTAGCAAATTCAAAATGGAATTGCAAAGAGCTCCGAAGGATTGGGTGCTTAAGTCTCAAAAATGACAAATGATTTCAGAGAAAATAATGTAATTGCAAAATATTGGGGTAAAATATTTGAAACTTCACCCCTAGATTATTGTTATATATGAATGAATTGCTTCATGGTTAATTTGCAGGCAATCCTCACATTTGCGCAGTTATGATTACAATGTTTACTCTGGCATAGTGGGTAATGTTTGTTCTCACTAGAGCAGACTAGGCGAGAAGCAAATTCAATTGCCTTTGACATGTGACAGTAGAAGAAATGAATGAGTGAAAGAATGAGTAGTGTGCATAATTAATTAGAAACTATCTCATTCTCCTTTCTAATACTTTGTCTTTGATACAGATAATGGATAACTGGAAATACCATAAATCAAAAGTGGCATCATATTGGTTAATAAAATTAGACTCTGTAAAACAGCGAAAGGTGAGTAGCAACTTCTTGTTTTCACTCTAGGTTAGCCACATGAACAACTATATTAGTCATTTGCTTTATTAAGTCCTGCTAATACTGTACCTTTAAATTCAGGAGTCCTCCATATTTTTAAGAATTTGTAGCAGGGAGATAGATGATAGATAGGTAGGTAGGTAGGTAGGTAGAGTGCTGTTTCTCCATTTCATCTGAGCAAATGGCACATTAGAGAGTAATGTAATGATCAGAATTGCCACCTAAATAGAGCAAGATAGTTACAGTTTCAAAGTAGTAAAATGGTGGAACATGCTGTACAGAGAAATGTCTCTGTTTTCCATTTGTCCATGGGTTTAGCAATAATTATAATATGGTGGCGCATTATTCGTGGTGCTAATAAATTGAAAATTAAAATAAGAGCAGCCTTAATAGGAAAAACATATTCTGTTCAAACCAATATACGTAATTTAATAATGAAATATGCCATCTTGACAAGTGATTTAATCTAAATTCAAAGTTTTTATATCACAATACAGGTTCTAGGTAAAGTAACTGCACCATCAGGTTTCTCATAACTTTCAAAAGCCAGCATATCAGGACAGAGCTTTAAGGACGTGATGCACTTCCACAATGTGTTATGCACAATGTGTTGGTGCACAATTGCACTATGATCAATTGGCATAAATAATATTTTGGTGCAATTATCAGTCCTGTATAGTTGATTCTTTTTTCAAGTAACACTTTCCCCTCCATGGTGTCTCCTCTAGTTTGCCTGCAACTTCCTCTTCTTTATGGAATTCTCTTCTTGAGATCTATATTCAGGTTTTGAAGCATCTTCCTTTCATAGTTAGAACTTGTGTGTGATCCAATTACTCATGCTGCTCTAAAGCCCCCAGGGTAGGAGAGGGGGGGGAAAGGATTGATGTAAAGTGGTTAAATTTAAATTTATTGACAGAGAATTAAAGGGAGACTAGTATAGCTATTTTGAGCTACTTAGCTCTCATCAGCTAGCCATATCCTTCTGAGATTTGAACCCAGGCCACTTGCATGTTAGGCAGATGTATTAACCTCTAGGCCATGGGCACTTCTTGCTTTGTCGGCTGTACCAGGGGGGAGATTAAGTGTTTTCCGGTGAGACCGGTCTATCAGGGCAACCTGGTCTACCCCAAATATGGGACAGAGCATACTGCTTCCACTTTCGCCTTTCAGCCCCAATCTAGGAGCCTTCACAGGCAATCGCTTCTGCGACAGATTATTTGTGTGTTACATTTAAATTTACCGACAAAGAATTAAAGGGAGGCTGGTAATAACTATTTTAAGCTACTTAGCTCTCATCAGTTAGCCATACCCTTCTGAGATTCGAACCCAGGCCACTTGCATGTTAGGCAGATGTAGCAGTATGCTCTGTCCCATATTTGGTGTAGACCAGGTTGCCCTGATAGACTGGTCTCACTGGTAAAACATATAAAGCGGTTCTTCTACACACACCACTGTATCCTTCTCCATTGGCAGATCATGTCCTTCCACTTTCCTTCTCCAGCCTCCTACTTGAGCGATTGCCGCACAAGCATGAAATTTCACCCTCCCTACAGTCCCCAGCATTTTGGGGTCCAAAAATAAGATTTGTGCTGTTTCATTTCTCCTTATTTTGTCGTCCCCACAATTGTGCTTCAAACTAGTCAGTTGTTCCCAGGCTCGAAACCATACTAACTTGTATTTTCCTGTAGGTGGTTAAAGGAGACCCCATTAAAAAAAAATTACCATATTTCATCAGTTTTCTTCTACTGATTTAAGTGGTATTTCAGATACATTGGCTAGGTTCAGGATGGCATATTAGATTGCTGTGTAGAAAATGTGTTCATTTTGGGAAAATATGGCTGATGACTGGGAGGGTGAATGTTATCTGAAGTACTATTAACGTCTTAACTTCTTTTGAAAAACAGAGGGTTCTGTAGGCTTGTCTCTGTATTTAAACCTAATCTTGTTTTTAAGATTAGCTTTGACACTGGCATTGTACTTAATGTGTGTGAGTACACATTGAGACCCGATTGGATAAACCAGTACTTTCTATGTTAGTAAGGGCAAGTGCTTAAGAAAAGGAAGATAAAACAAAGAGAAAGTGGCAGTATAAAACATGTATTATTGGTTAAGGACAATATACAACAATTATGACAAATCAAAAATACAAACCAATACTTTGCTACCGTGTTTTTCCCGAAAATAAGACCCAACCAGAAAATAAGCCCTAGCATGATTTTTCAGGACACTCGTAATATAATCCCCAAGTTAAGTTAAGATCATCTGCCAGATGGACACATTTAGTACTGTATTTCTCCAAAAATAAGACCTAACTGGAAAATAAGACCTAATGCATCTTTTGGAGCAAAAATTAATATAAGACTTGGTCTTATTTTCGGGGAAACATGGGTACTTATTCACCAAACATATCCACCAAAAACATATCCAGCAGAAAGAATATTTCAAATAGGCTAACCGTTGCTGGATCCAGAGGGCAATAAAATTATCTATTATTTTTAAATACATAAATAGGAGACAAATGAAAGCTTCCATAAAAAGAATGGCTCATAATCCATTTTAAGGATTAATTAATGGAAAAGTTGTGTTTGCGACCAGACTTGCTCTGCTGCAGAAAAGGTTGGCAGATAAGATAGAAGGGTTTTTGGTAGCTATATCATATGTAGGGGTTGGTATAGAAGCTTGTTTCTGAGCCTGCTTCCGTTGTATTAGATTTGTGATAATAATTGTTAATGATTACATTATCTTGACTTGGCAATTTATGCCAAATTCAAAGAAGGGTGGTTTTTTTTGGGGGGGGGGGACATAGATTAGGTTTGTGAAAGAAATATTTGAGGTTTTGCAGTTGTTCTTACACAATATAGAACACGTTTGCAAAAGCATACAGTAGTCGCTACATGCAATACAAAACATGTCTGCAAATAGAAAAATGTTTTTTTATTCCTGTAAGTCTTAAGTCTAAATTCAGTTTTATTGCACTATGTATAAAATTACCTGTGGTTTCCAGGTATTTGTGCACGCTGGTATGTCCATCCTTCCATCTGCATTGCTTTGTGGAGAGTTTCTAGTCCAGGCTTCTTTAAATAATTTTTCTTTAAATCCAGCTTTTATTTTAATTCATAGTCAATTAGTCTTGAAGCCACAAAATAGTTTCTGCATTGTTCTTATATTTACAGTCCCACATTTGATGTTGAGGGGAACATGTTGGTCCAGTATAAAGTCTATGAATCTCTAGCATTCATTTACAGAAAATTGGAATTGATAAGTTAATTGCAGCAAGACGTGGCTCTGTGACATCTACTCAGTGCTGAAAGGAATTGAAATAAAGTCATCACTGTCCTAAAGTAGAAGAACTTGGTTTCGTGTGACCAGTTTTGATTTCTCTTCCAAGGCTCTGAATATATCCCCAGCAGTGAGGTCTACATCTAAATGGCCACATGGCCCTTTAATGGGCCTGTCCTATGTAATTTAGTTATAGAAATCAGCCCTTCAGGTATTACATTACTGAGTGGTAAAGAACAGTACATATCCACCAAAAAGAATACTTTAAATAGGCTAACCGTCGCTGGATCTAGAGGGCAATAAAATTATCTATTTTGTTTAAATACATAAATAGAAGACAAATTAAAGCTTCCATAAGAAGAATTGTAAGTCTACTTTTTTAAAAAGAAAAATTGATAAGAGTAATGTTTCACTATGAGCCAGAAACAGTTGGAAATAAGTCTAGTGGAATATTAAACAAGAATAGTATCAGTTTCTAGTTAAGATATCATATTAGCCATGCCTGCACTGACATAATTTACTGGCTTCCTGTGTAATCAGATGAAAGAACTTACCCTCAAACCATCTGCAGGATATTCAGAAAACAATGAGAATTGTAGATGCCTTACGTTGAGAGCATTAACTTAGAGTTTAACTAGCTTGGATACGATTTTAGGTAGAAAAATAGAATGTTCAAATAGTGTCAGCTTTATAGGAAATCAAGGGTGAATTTCGAAGCACAGAAATGTCAGGGACTGCCTTTTTTCCCAGCAGGTCAAATTCAGCCTTTGCTTGTGCTTAGAATACCAGGGGCATGAAAACTTATTAACCAGGAGACTGAAATTAGATCACCTTAATGCCTTTCCCCTTTTCTCCATGCCAAGCAGAGTTTTTCTCAGTTTGATGCACTGATGTACCGAATCAAAAACTTCTTCATTGTCATTATCATGATCATTGAAACGCTGTTCCTGAGGTCATCTCATGACATCAAGGATTTATAGCCAATCAATACTGTGTGTAGCTGGCTTGGGTTGCAAATGGGAAGAACAGGTTTCCTTTGAATTCGACCTTTATCACAAATTGCTTCATCTCAACAATCATGGTCAACGGAGTCAGATTATGTGAATCTGGAAGCCTCCTAATAGCAGTTGTTTTATACCTCTGAAAATAGTTCTGGTTTATGAAAGTGAAAAAAATGTAAACTTAAAAAAATAAAATAAAAACTACTTAGGTTTTCTACAATTGCCCCCTCCTTTCCTTTTATATTTCCTTGTGCTGTGGTTGTAATGGTAGGAGTTGCCTTGTGCCTAATAAATAATTAATTTGTGTTTGTTTACAGCAGAGGTAGTCAACCTTGGCTCTTTTATGACTCGTGGACTTCAACTCTGGGAGTCATAAAAGAGCCAAGGTTGACTACTCCTGGTTTACAGTCATCTTGGACAGCATATGAATTTAATAAATAAAATGTTTTTGATTACATATATTGGATGTACTAGGCAACAAGTCAAGTACTAAGAGTGTACTGCTTTTTTAAAAAATTAATCCATCCTAGAACCTGTGAGATAATTTTCAAGTTGCTTTTTAAACTGTTCCTTAACATTTATTTATTTATTCATTCATTGTAATCTTTTTTGTAGGTTTTAGACATTGTGAAAGTCAGTATTCGCTCTGTTCTGAAGCATATCTGGAGAGTTTCAGATGTGGAATGTTTACATTTGTACCGACTTTTTAACCGTGTGTTTAATCGTCTGCTCTGGAGCCATGGCCAAGGGCTGTGGAACTGTTTCTGTAATTCAGGGTAAGAGTATACACTCACAAAACACAGACACGGAAATTGTTTTTCTTGAATAAAAACAAAGCGTTTTCTCTTTTGTGACTGCTGTAGATTTATTTTCCTCATGGTTAAAATTTAGTAATACTGTTTGCTTATTTAAACTTTCTCAAAAAATATTCATTCCTCTATTTCCATATTTTATGTTCTGAGTGTTGGAAAGATTATGGATGCAGGCAGTGGTGGGATTCAAATATGTGAACAACCGGTTCTCTGTGTGGATGCCGCTTCCAGAAGTCCGTTCTGGGCCTCGGCCAGAACTCAACAAAAAATTAGCTACTGTTTCTGCCAAACTGGTGCGAACCGGATGAATCCCATCACTGGATGCAGGACTTTTTAATCAAAACAGAATTGTTCAAAATCACAGGCATGTTCTTTTGGGAAGTAGTGGTTTGAACTGAAATTTCACACAAACACACACACAGACTTTTTGCTGCTTCGATCACTTGCTCAGCTCTCCTATTCCCTAATCATCTGGTGGTCCATAGACAACAGTTATCCTGGCAGGAGATGATTAGAGCTGAAGTTGATCCAATCTAGAAAGCAGAAAGCTGCTCTGGAGTCAAGAGCAGAAGTAACTCCTCTGTCTCCTGAATTGCTTTTTGCTCCTTCCAGAGCCCATCCTGGCAATGTTGCTGGATTTCAAGGGCCCAGTTGCTGGGAATAAAGAAGAACGCAATTCCCAACCCAACACTCTCTTCTCCTAAAAAACAGTTCTACCACAGAAACTCTGACTAGTGAGGCCTTTGAAAGACAAAGACTGAATTATTAATTTGTATTTTCCTATTTCCCGCCAACTGTTGGTGAAACAGTACCAGCTCTTTACTGTAAACTAACAAGGTCATACATTAATTCACTTCCTTTTCCGTAGCTAAATTTCTCATGTAAAGATTTCAGATTGTCATTTGTGGCAGAAAGCATGAGGTCATGTCTGTTTCCATGCCAACAGGAGCTCTTGGGAGACAATATTCAGTAAAAGCACAGAAGCCGTGACTGCCGATCAGCTCCAGTGTTGCCAACGAATAGTTGAGCTTTGTAAACAGTGCCTGCTAGTGGTTTACAAATACTCGTCTGATGTTAGAGGGTCCATTTCTGGAATGAATTCTGATTGGGACGACACAAGGTATGCATGATGCTGAATTTGACGTTTTGCGGTCTGATGTTAAAAGCAATGCAGGGACGCAAGGGTGTGATTACCATACCATTGGATTTTGTTGCAGAATCTCAGTTGATACTAAACTTTAAATTAAAAGTTTAATTTAACTTTTAATGTTTCATTCCTGTATAGTAACTCCAATCCAGCAGTTTACATATGTTTAAACTGATTCTTATGACAACCAGTTTGGTGTAGTGGTTAAAGCATCAGACTAGAAACTGGGAGATTGTGAGTTCAGTTCTGCCTTAATCACAAAGCCAGCTGGGTGAAGTTGGGCCAGTGACTTTCTTTCAGCCCTAGAAAAGAGGCAATGGCAAACCACTTTGGAAAAACCTTGCCAAGGAAATTACAAATTACTTGTGCAGGCAAACTCCTATTATTGGACACAAGTGAATGGAAGGGAAAAAAACCCTGATTCTTACAGTATATATGTAATTCCTAGCTTCTGATTGCTGCCTCTATTATTTTAGTGCAGAAACATAGTCACTTTCTTCCCTTTGTTTTCCAAGACTAAGAGATATAAAATATCTGAGAGGCACAAAGTTGGTGCATGTTAATATAATGAAAATGAATTCCCAAGCTTGAATAGATTGGTGTAGGCTGGATGAACATCTATACAAATTCTTTTTGGGTAGTCCTTTTAATAAATAGGACAAGAGATCTATTAGAACTCTTCCCAATGTTGAGCTAATTTTTAAAAAGCTGTTACTTTCACTGAATGATCTGGAACAGTTTGACAAAGATTTATTCAATTAGTAATAGCATTCAGAATCATTTTTCCATCAGCATCCCAGTTCAGTTTTGAAGACATTTTAGCCGATAGATCAGCATATGGATATTGATATCCCAGACGCAGTCAAAGAGATAATAAGGTCATACTGCACTTCTAAAAGAACAATAAACTTTACAAAATGAATCCTTAGGCTAAACTTTTATTATAATTGTCCAATTCTCTGAAGACAGTATCAGGTTCACAAACCAAAGTAATTTTTTTTTAATCTGTTAAATGATTATTTGGGCAAATTTAAGATCAACCAGAACAACCAAGGGCTTTATTTGTAGCGATTCTGATTTAACTTACAGAATTTGCTGCTATACATTGTAGTAGTAGCCATAGGTTTTAATAATCCAGCTGTGGTATACCCTTCCATTTATTTCTGGAGTGATACTTCGTCATTGCTCATAATGATCGATAACGTATAGGCCAGGGGTCGGCAACCTTAAACACTCAAAGAGCCACTTGGACCCGTTTCCCACAGAAAAACTTGCTGCAAAACTTGTGCGCACATGCGCGCGTGCCAAAAGGGGAGGCTTGATTGAAGAGCTTAATTAAAAAGAAATAGAGGGTGCTATGCATGAGTGCTCTCTCTTTCCTCTCCCTCTCTCTCCCCCCCTCTTTCTCTCTCTCTCTCTTTCTCTCCTTTTCTCTTTTTCTCTCTCTTTCCTCTCCCTCTCTCCACCCCCTCTCTCCCCCCTCCCTCTCCCTCTCCAATCTTCTGCTCACCTGACAAGCTGGCTTCACGCTGTTCTCGGACAAGCTGACACACATTCTTATTGGGCTGGCTCTCTCCTGCCCTTGGTCTGCCAGTCCTCTTCCCCCATTCAGTGTGAGTGTGTGTGTGCGCGTGTGAGTGAGTGAGTGAGAGAGAGAGAGAGAGAGAGAGAGAGAAGGGAAGCGCAAGTGCCTCTCTGTCTCTGTCTTTCTCTCTGCAAATGGTGGCGGAGGCTGGGAAAGGGTCAAAAGAGCCACATGCGGCTCTGGAGCCGCGGGTTGCCAACTCATGGTATAGGCCATACCTAACCCTGCTGTATATTGAGTAGTTGAGAATTAAAAAAATGTTACGATAAACTTGTGAACCCGAAATAACCCATGCATTTTTCCGAAAGCATCTAATGTGTCATTATTAGAAGTGATTCCAGGTTAGATGGAACGTTATTTTAATTCACAGTCCTTTCAAAAAGGAGCAAAATTAAGCATGGGTATTTTTTTTAGAAATATAAACCCAATATAAATTGTTTATAAAATTTCCTCACCATAGGGCCATAGTAATCAGGATGTGGTGCATCTTCGACATAGCCATGACACAGAAATATCACATAGCTCTGATGCTATCTTACTTCATTCTGAAATAATTTTATTTGTGGTAAAAGCCTGCGGTACATCCCCAAACTTCAACATGTTAGTGATCCTGCCTGCCTTACTCCATTATGTTGGAATATAATATGTGACAAAAATTGAAATACATTTCCAGATGGTAGTTTCTGCATAACATTTTTTTTAAAAAAAAATGATAATAGTGTAATAAAAATGGCAACATTGGATTGGAGAAATCCAGGTTCTAGTCTCTCTAAGAATTTTGAGCCAGGTATTTTTTTCTCAGCTCTTCAATTTGATAGGCCTATGGTAGAGGAGGAGGGATAAAAAGAAGTGAGAAGGCATATTAAACAACTTGAGCTTCTATCTAGGAGAAAGGCAAGATGAAAATGTAATGTAATAGACATATGCAGAAATGTGTTGAATCCAACTCTTTTGAGCCCAAATCATTCTGGAAATCTCTGAAATCACCCGTTTAATATACTAGTGTGAGCCTTCAGCCTGTTTAATGTTCAAAAGGGCATTTTAAATTGAACACAGTTCAAATTTGTTTGTTCTATCTTTTTAATGTAGTAATTCGAATGCACAATAGTTAGGCAGTAGCCTTTGTCAGGAAAAAAAGCAAACTTCAGCCATTTGACAACTTTGAGAAAGAGAATGATGATTGCTGGCAGGTGTTTCTAGGGCTGAGAACTCCATGATGTTGCAGGAAATTTGCAGTAAATCTATTCCCTTTAAAGATCCACTCGGACTTCTTTTTTCTTTCTTATAACTGGCCTTTTTTGGAAATGCTCCAATCCTTAATTTCCAGATCTGAAGTGTGTAATTTCATTCCAGCAATTAACCACCAGACATTTGTTCATCAGTATTTCCTTTGGAAAGAACTGGAAATGTATACTCTCCAATTCAAAGCTCATATGATATTATCATCATAAACCTTCTTTTTTTTCCTCCAAAGAAAGTACATAGTCTTCTTAATGCCCTAATCAAACCTGCTTTTCAAATAAGATAAGGGAAGGTTCAGATCCTTTGAATTCTTTTTTCTGTCTCCTTTTCAGTACACAACATCGTTCCAAAGAAAATTGCCACCTCAGGTTGAGTAATTTGAAATAATCAGAAACAGATTTTGATGGGGAAACAAAGATGAACCGTACTGCTGAGAAGCAACATAATTCAGGAACAGCATCTTCAGTTAAGAAGATCTTAGTAGCAAAGCTGGAAAAAAAATCCTTGCCTGAGAAACCAGAGCAGAGGTCTTCAAACTTGGCCCTTTTATGACTTGTGGACTTCAACTCCCAGAATTCCTCAGCCAGCGTGCCTGGCTGAGGAATTCTGGGAATTGAACTCCACAAGTCATAAAAGGGCCAAGTTTGAAGACCTCTGCCCTAGAGAGTTGTTATAAGGTAGGGTTGTAGTCCAACATGTCTGGAAGGCACCATTTATGTATTTGTTACGTTTACAGATCTGTCTTTTCTCTATAAGTTCTGGTGGCTACATAGCCTTTATCCTTACAATGGACTTTATCCTTACAATAGCAATTCCAATGAGTTAGGTGGAAACTGCCAGGGAGTTTCCATGGCTGAGAGTAGACTTGAATCTGGGTCTTTCCGGTTCTCATGACACACCACACTTGCTTTCACATCACACACATTGGCCAAGTTAGAGAAACCTGGGTTAGCAGAGCCAATATATAAAGTGCTTTCACTTCTTGACTCTTGAAACAAAGATTCTTGTAACATTTTCTATGACAAGCTGTATAACATTTAAAGCTTGGGAAGATTTGGTCAAAATGCTGCTCCTGGTGTTACAAGTCATCATCACAATGACTGCTATTGGGATCGGCAACTCTGTTGCTAAGCAATATGGTTGTTAAGTGAAACAATACATGACCGTGCTGGACCACATCAGTTCTACTGTAGTTGTTAAGCAAATCATCCGCAACCATTAAGTTGAACAGTCTGTGACCACAAATGGCAGCTTATCGCTGGCTTCTCCATTGGCGTTGCTTGTTGGAAGCTGGCTGTGAAGTTAGCCAATAGCAGTCATGTAATTGCAGAACACTGCAAGATGCTTTTTCAGGAGGCAACTGGACTTTCTTGTTTTTCTTTGAAAACGTTTCGCTTCTCTCTGAAGAGCTGAAGAAGCTTCTTGGATGAGAAGCGAAACATCTTCAAAGAAAAACAAGGAAGTCCAGTTGCCTCGTGAAAAAACACCTTTGGGATAAACTACGATCTGGATGACCGAGAATCTCCATAGACATTTAGCACTGCAATACTCATACGTTCGAGGAGCAGTCATAAAGCTACTTTGTACAGCGCTGTTGTAACTGTGAATGATCATTAAAAAAGACAGCCGTTAACCAAGAACTACCTATAATTCTAATTTTTAATCGGGGATATCGTTAATGCACCATAGCAATTGCTGTGCTCAGAATTGCCTTTTGAACAAAAAAATAGTATGGATTTCTTCTCTGCAGTGTAGTTGCTATCTTTTTGTATTTTATTCTCCTGCCCTGTCTAAAATGAAAGTATTTTATAGACTTCAAATCTTTTTCCGAGGAGTTCTCCAACTTTCCTAATTGGATACATGTTTTCTAGGGCAGCCCTTTTCCCCCTACTCCTTACTCAATTCAGTTGAAATCCATTATTATTTATTTTACAGGATTTAGATGGGCGTCTATTTCACACAAAGACTCTAGGCAGTTCCCAATAGTCCATGCAGCCCAGAATTTCTGTTGCTAAGTGTGACAGTTAAGTGAGTCTTGACCCATTTTACAACCTTTCTTGCCACAGTTGTTAAGTGAATCGCTGCAGTTGTTAAGTGAGTAACACTGCTGTTAAGCGAATCCGGCTTCCGTTGTAAAATTGAATTTTGATCACCTGACAGTGGGGATGCTGCAAGGGTCATAAATGTAAAAACTTGTCATAAGTCATCTTTTTTTTCCGATGCTGCTGTAACTTTAAACTGTTGTAAGTCGAGGACTACCTGAAATTAAAAACTTAACTCCCCCCCCCAGATGCCACACTAGTCAGCTTCACAGCTTAACCCCCCCATTCTAACCCAGTGCTTGAGGGAACAGACAAGTCTTCACACACCTCAGAAGGCTGAAAGGGTAGCAATTCCTCTGAAGTCTGGTGGGAGGCTGTTCCAAATTACTGGGGCAGCCACTGAGAAGACATGCCTCTGGGGTTTCATCAGATGGCAATATTTAAGGGAGAGGACCTGAAAAGCCCTCCTCCCCAATTTAATTTAGTAGGACAGGCAGAAACCCTTAGAGAGAGGGGGTTGTGCAAGAAACATGGCTCTGTGTCATGTAGGGCTTTAAAGATGATAACCAGCACTCGAATCACACCCAGAAAGCAACTGGCAGCCAGTGCCATTCATGCCGCAGAGGTGTTTGTTGGGTGTACCACGGGGTACCCAAAGCTGAATGCTGCTGCATTCTGCGTCAGTTGCAACTTCCGATGGTCTTCAAGCACTTTGCAGTAATCCAAAGAAGGAGTTGACTAAGGCACGGATGATTGTGCGCAAGGCTTCCCGTTTGGACTACTGCAATGCATTTTGCATGTTAGCAAAGACAAACTTAATTTTGCAAGGGATTATGGTATATTTAGAAGAAATTTTGCAGCTGCAGCTTCTGGACAGAACCTGCAGAGTAATATGTTACAGGTAGTCCTTGACTTAAGGCCAGAGTTGGACCTGGGACTTCTTTCTCTAAACAAGACAATCATTAAGCGAGTTGTACCAAAATTTGTAACCTTTTTTGCCGCGTTCATTTAAGTGAATCACCATGGTTGTTAAGTGAATCACGCGATGGGTTAAGCAATTTCAGCTTCCCCATTGACTATGCTTGTTGGAAGCCAACTAGGAAGGTTGCACAAGGTAGATGGTGCAACCCATAAAAATACACATCCATTGACAATGCCTTGAACACATGATTCTGTGGATGTGGAACAGTCGTAGGTGTGCAACCCAGTTGTAAGTGTGAGGGCTGGACAATTTTCAGCATCTTCGTAACTAAGACAGTTGCTACAAAATGGTCTTACGTCGAGGACTAACTATACATATAGTTAGTAGATGCTTCTTTGGCGGGGCAGAATATATAGAGAATAGTAAGCTAAGTCCCTGAGGATTTTACTCCACTAGTTGTTGCCGACTATAGGGCTCAGCGCTAATTTCTGTTTCAAGGACATTGAGCCAGCACTGTCCAAAGATATTTCTGCAGTCATGTAGCCAGCATGACGTCACGGTTCGCTGTTACCTTTCCACCAAAATAGTATCTCTTTATCTACTCACATTTGCATGCTTTTGAACTGCTAGGTTGGCAGAAGCTGGGGTGAGGAGCTCAGCCCATCACGCGGTGCTCGGTTTTTGAACCTGACCTGGGCTCCAAGCTATCCAGCCAACAAACCCAGTGTCTTAACCACAGAGCCACCGCGCTGCCTATATAGAATAGTATCTATATGGAAGTAATTCTACTAAATTGAATGAAAGTTTAACCTGTTATTGGAGCTAGTAATTTTTTATTTAAAAATGCTGAAGTGAAGAATATATTTAGCACTCTTGGTTTGTTCATTTAGAATCATGAAGGCTTTAAAGAGACATTTCTAATACCCTTGTTAACTACCCACTTTGATTTCTCTAAGTTACACATATTTGCTTGGCAGAATTTGCTGGAAGCAGCGTGCTTTTTTTAAAGACTCTAGAATTCTTTCAAGTAATAGGTGATGATGTCCAGTTCTTTGCTATAATTGTACTATTAGGTACTCACAGTCACTTGTGTCATGTAACTTAAAGCCAAATGCAAAAAAGCATTTGGCAGGGCAGTGAGTTGCTCTACAAAAACAACAACAAAAAACTGCCTGGCTAATATTTTATCTTTGTTTATTGATGATCTCACATTAATCAACTTTGACCAAAGATCACCCTTGCTTTTCATGATTTACGTTATGGAGAGTTATTTCAACATAGCTTACATATTCACATTATGTACTGTAAGTGCCACAGTTCAGCTAACCACTATTGCCTGTCAAAACGTCCAGGAATTTCTCTTCTTCATTTCCGGGTGATAAAATACCATAGTAAACACTTTGTCACTCAGAAATGTCTTTAAAATTACTCCACTCCTTTCTCCATCTCTTCCCTTGCCCACCACAAAAAGCTCTTTTCCCCACTTCTTTATTTAATTTATTTATTTTTCCCCTGAACCTTCAGAATGTGTAATTAATGTGTCCTTTCTACTGTGGACATATTTAATGATCTTTGCATGGAGCCTTAGGCATGAATTCTGCCATTTTACACACTTCATTGGATTTGGTCCGGGAGGGAAGGGAACCTGAAATATAGGCATCATTCCGCTAAAGGCAGGTCTTTGTGTGCAGCTCTTTCATGGGGAGCCTTCCATAACAACAACCTGGCTTTAGCATATGCTCTCATGGCATTTAATCATTGTGACTCTTACAGCACGGTGCTTAGAATTCATCATCTTATGAGGTAACGTTTTCTAAACAGTGTGCTCTATTATGTGTACTAGTTCTAGCATAATACATTACTTGTAACGTAGCTTCCACTTAGGGTAGGTGTTATTTTTATACATTTTTGGAGCATCTAATATCTGCAAGTAATTATAGAGCGTTAGTAATGGGAAATAAATTAAAGGGTGGTTATTAGGCAATCTATGATAAATGATTGTTTGTAGGTTTTTATTCAAGTTCTGTTTCTGCTGGTGTTGCCAGCGATGTAAGTATATAAATCAGAGAGTCACTGATGAATGGTGAATTAGCAATTTGCTAAAATCATGATAATGAGATGGTGGCTATATCACAACTTCATTAAGTAATGGTAGGGCTTAGTCTAATTGCAGCAAAATTTGGTATCGATGTTTCTGGGTCAGGGGTTATTTCAGGCAATAATATATTAACAAAGCAACACAAAATGATTTACCCCTTAATTCTATGTCCTCCTTCACGCTGACCCTGTCATAATTTGGGATAAGCAGCATAAAGGCCACACTTGTCCTTTTTAAAGAAAATATGAGGAATAATTGAATAGAAAAGTTGTTGAGGTTGAACGGCTTTTACTTCTTAAATGGCTCACGTTTTACTTGCTTTTAAATCTTAAAAAGTAGGCATGTGATGGGTAAGGAAAAGAAATGTTATGACCACAGGTTGCCAGTATGTGTGTATGTTAATGGTAGTACCACACTGCATGCATGAAGCATGATAATAGTATGCTAGGCATAAAAAAAAATCTTTTCCACAGAAACCATAATTTCTGGCTTGAGCACCAAGAGAGAAACATGAATTCCAGATGATATCTGGAAATAATATATCTGAATTCATTTCAGAGAAGAAGTTAGGATTGTTTGACCTACTTCCAAATATTGTATTTCTTTATCAAATTTTAATATTGAAACTACCCAATTTGAGGAGCATTTCCAAAGTATATAATTTATGTGAAAGGACAATATAATTTAACTGAGCAAGCCTTAATATTTGCAGAATTGTGAAAAAACTTCCTTAGCAATTTCCAGAAAACAGTAGGAAGCGGGTTGGGCATGGGTTGACCTAGCTAATGGATAGATACGCTGGTGTATATTTGGCCATTTTTTTAAAAAAATGTAAATGATGTTATTATCAAAGGAAAGTATCAAATTTATGTTCTGTTCCAAATATAAGCTTTGTCGCTTGGTTTTTAAAAGATCTGTTCTGGAGTCTTACAAAAGTTTCTATCTCTTTTCTGTTCCCTATTTCAAAGTAACGTGGCTTCCATTTTCTACTTTCATTTATCTTCCAAACTTTTTCTTGACCAATCTGATTCATGCTGATCATCCTAGCAACTGAAAGATGCAATAATTCATCTGTAGTCTGCAATCTTCTTCTCATACAGAAGGGTTTAATTGAAGTTTGTGGGGGTGGTAGTAGCATTTTGTCCATTGTTTGGTGTGTGTGTGTGTTAGTACATGAAGGTATTTATGTTCTAATGAATATATTATTCTGCAAGATAAACAAATAATGAAAAACTAGCTAAATGTCAAGAATCTTGAAGTGTGGAAAATAGAACAAAAACATATATTCAAAATTTCATTATGTATCAGGTTTTTTTCTGCAGCATAAGTGTTGTAGTTATTTGCTGATTGTGTTTAAAAACTCTGAGTGGAACACCCCAATGGGAGCAAAAGCCTATACTGCAGAGATTGTAAGATCAGAATTTGGATGAGGTAGAAAAATTATATTTGGAAAAAGTGAATCACCTTTTTACAAATACTACCTTGATGATGTTCTGAGCGGAATATGACCAGCTTGTTCGTCATATTTTTAAAATGCATGTTTGCAAAGTTTTAACATACTGTCCTAAAATCTATTAAGTTCTCTTTGAATCACCAGTTGCCGTGTTAGTAAGATAATACCTTTGTTATGGCAAGGTAATAAAGATATTTACACTGTTGGTCATATTATGATTGAATCACACAAATGTATGTCCCTTTTCCTGATAGATTATTTATTTGTGAATACTTGTTTAGTTGAATTGAAGATATCTGTTGAATTCTTACGCCTTTGTCTCTAAACCCTTTTCTAGGTATTTACTACCAGGACCGTTGCAATTCATCATGAAACCCTCCACCGGTTTTGGGTGTAGCTCATCTGGGATGACTCGCTCGGTTTTGTTTACATCTAAATATGAGCACTCGTGAAACTAAAAGGAACGTTATATTAATGGGCAATTCGCTTTATTTTTCTCCTCAAATACAAATGTGTGATGGAACTGAACATAGATATTGTTATATATTTATTACCATATATAAAATGTAGCTCAGAAATCTGCTGTAAACACATAACATTTCTCAGAATATAATAAACCTTATTAAACTGTTTACAGAGGTACGTGAATGTCCACATTTGCTAGATGACTAAATAAATTTGTACTAAAAGGGATACTTTTGCTGCAGAGGCGCAGAGGCCACAATCCTATACTGGAGATCTCTCAGCTGAGGGGCTGTCAGACTTTAGTGAAAGCCCTGCTCTCTGGTGAAATGCCAGTTATGTTGCAATATTAACTCATGTGCTACTAGAGCTCTCTGCAGGCAGAGGTGTTCTCTCAATGAAGATATCTTTACAGATAGGGTAGAGCATATCAGAGATGCAAGTTGAATAGAGAGAACCAAGCTTGGTCACATCCCACACTACTACCATCTGTGGCCATGTTCCCACAGAAGTGGCGGTTTTTCTCTAGCTCCAGATCTGGTCTAGTCTCTGCCATTGAACTTAATGGGAGAGAGAAAATCCACGAGCACACCAATGATCCTGCCTACATTGCCTATATCTGGGACATGTTGTGGCTCAAAATTAAAGCAAGTCATCCCTGTCTATAAGCCACAATCAGTAGGTTCACCACCACCCCTGATGAAAGTGTGCGTAACTTGGGGCGTATATTTGATCTCATACTGCACACACATTTCAGAGGGCATAAGACTGAATGCTGGGGAACAAGAAGAAAGGAGTATTATGTAGAAACAGCTCTTTATGAAATACTCATAATGCAGATTGGCCACACTTCTCTTTCCAGAATCCTAATTGGCCTTTTGCTTTGAGACATGAGACAGACTGTCAAACAGTCAACTTTGTTTCTGTGATGAGAAGATGGCAGGGCAGAGTCCCTCCTTCAAAGAAGTAAAGGAGGAAGAAACCCAGACTATAAAGTATAATTCTGTGGTTCATTCCCTATTTATCCAAGCTAAAACGGGGAAGGAATAGGGAAGACTGGTTGGCCACCAGATTACTAAAAGGAGGAATTAGTATACAATTGTCGGCAGTCCCTCCTTGGAATATTTCTAGGCTCCACAGCAACACAGTTAATGGGAATACTGCACTGATAGCCAAGAGAATTGGGAACATCTCCATAGAGAAGCCAATGTCTCAAGGAAAAATCTACAGACTCCAAACAAGGGATTTAAATGAAGGGAAAGAAAAAGAAAATGGTTGTGTATGTGGCCAGGCTATTTTGAATGTCCTAACTCTAATTTATACTCGTCCACATTGTAGGTCAGTGGACAGATCACAGGGACTATTCCACTGGTCTCATGGCTCCAGGACTCCATTCTCAGTATCATCTGAGTATGGGATTGCTTTGCCCAACAAAAGTGACCTTGCAGGTCCTGTTAAAATTTAAATTATTTTATAGGCAGAATGTCTTTAGATCTGAACTATTTATGTAAAGCTTTTTTTGTTTGTTTGTTTTCCTTCTCTTGTAGGGAGCAATGTGCCATTAGGATAGATGATAAGGCTTAGGGGAATAAAGATAGTAAACTCCTAAGCATGTTGTTTCTGTTTCACAGTTAAAGACACTTGTATAAAGCCTAATGTACCTTTGGGCACATTTTTAACTGAAGTGAAGGATAAGAAATGTGCAATTTTTATTTTTCAGTAAGGGCATGCTGAGACCTCTTAGTTAAGCGAAGTCAATCCTCTGGGTAAATTATTCAAGACCATCCGTTCTGATCCATAGCTTCTAGCTGGAGCGTTGTAATATTATTACTACTAATAAAAAACATGGGCAGCAAGCATTTGTACTGGCTCTTTTATTTGTGTCTCTCTGTGTGTGCGTGTGTATGTATGCGTGTGTATATGTTGAGCTGCTTGCTTTCTTCAAGAAGATAATTTAGTTTTCAAGAATAAGTACTTTCTACCATGCGATTGACAGTACAAACATCATTTTAAAATCCTTAGGATACTATCATATGCTTTTCAAATATTATACAATGCACTTTTGTAATAAGATACACTTCTGAAGGTTGCAGTGAGTCCCAGGGACCATAAACAATATTCTATGGATTTTAATAGGAAGCATTAATTTCTCGGAAGGAAGGGAAAAAGTGTGCCACTGCCAAAGCAATTGCTTTGCTACCAAATAAATTTATTTTTGTTTATTGACACAACTTAGCCTGCTTTTCTTCAAAAATATTCTCAAAAAGAGCAATTCCAAAGCCGTAAGTGGAATGGAGAGAGCCCCCTACTGCAGAGGTCCCCAACCTTTGGGGCACCAGGAACCGGTTCCATGGAGAGAGGTTTTTCTGCGGACCGGAAGATGCATGGTTTTGTGTGCTGCCTGCATCCGATGGATGGGCCTTTGCTTGTTTGTGTGGACGGGTTGCTGGCATGCCATGGACTGGTACCAGTCTATGGACCGGAGGTTGGGGACCCTGCCCTACTGTATGTTTGGGATGTTACCCAGTCTCAAGTATAGTTAGTGGATCGTGGCAGATGGATTGATCAATACCACAATGAAGGCAGAAAGTGTTCATCAGGCACTTGCCTGAACATATGAAAACTAGAAAACGAGTAGATAAGAAGGGCAGCTTTATAGTTTGCCTGGAGGACCAAATGCTTGGAGGTCAAAATGAGTAGGAACAGAGGAGCATATGCAGGCAGTCTTCTAATCAGTTTGAAGCCCTTCCATGTTTAGTTAAATATAGCTTAATCGTATTTCCATGTCCTTGTCCTTTTTTTCCCTGGGGTTTAAATGTCTTGCCATATGAAAAGCTTTTGGAAACTTGAAAAGTTATGCTCTTTTTTTTTTTTTTGCAAATCATTGTCCGGATAAAAAGCAGTTCCTCAGTAAGAATTTTGAGGGTCCTCTCCTCTTATGGTCAAATACGATTGCTATTGCTTTGTATCTTAATATTTTCCAGATATACATGGCCATAAAGTAAAAAAAAATGAGAGTTTGCTCTGTTCGGTCATGTTAAAATTCTAAAAAAGAAAAAAGAAGAAAGTAAAGCTCTTTTGGCATGAATTCAATGTAATACATTCAAAAAACAGGCAAAGGCTGAAAAACTGAGCAAAGTCAAAATTAAACGCACAACTGAACATGTTGCTTACTGATGCTACTTCTGACAGGTTTGGGAAAAGAATAGAAAAAAACCTCTGCAGATGAAATAGCACATTCCCATTCAAAGACACATTGTTGTCAAACTTTTAAGACAAACCCGAGTAATAATTATGGACATTTAGGAATCTGAGGTGTACGCTCAGCAATTTTGGCATTAAATGAGGTCTTTAAAAAGAAAGAAGAACTAAATAAATGTATTACAAATGAAGGTGAATATACATGTCCCAGGATAATGTTGCAGGATCCAATCAGTCACTGGGAGCAGGGGTTTTGGGGCTCATGCTGGAGTCCATCTTCAGGGAATTTCTCTCTAGCTAGAGAGAGTCCTCTCTTCTCTAGCTAGAGAGAAATTCCCTGAAGATGGGCTTCAGTACGAGTCCGAAAGCTCGGAAGACAAAACCTCTAGCGCCGGTGACCGACCCAGATTGGATCCTGCAATAAATGCATTCATTCTGGAATGGTTGTAAACTTAAACTTGTATAGAGTTTTACAGTTGAGTACACACTGCTCCGGATATTTTTAATTGGTTTACTTCCTTATTAATAGACTAATATTTTAAAATAAAGAGGTCTAAGAAATATTGGGGCTTATAGCTGGGTTTTAAGTGACAAATGAGGAAGAGGCCTTGGGCTAGGACCTCCAGGACTGGGCTGCAAAAAAACCTGGAAATTATTAGCCGGCAGCAGAGAGAAAGAACTTTTTGTAGCTTGTGACTTCCTTCTGGGTGCCATGAGATTTTTATAGCCTAGATCTGTGACCCTATTCTGTGGGTTGTTCCAAAATGTATAGGAAGACACAGCTGCCATTTTATTAGCCCGCATCACCTTTTCCCTACTAACAATTGTCAAGAAGGCACCCTTGAAACAACTAGTTCTAGCATTGGGATTTGGGGCAATAGAAGAGAATATCTGTAGCACAGAATTGGACTGTGGAATTCCTGGTGCTCTCTGAACTTGGTTGTTTGGCTGAAGATGTTTCGTTACCCGGCTAGGTAACATCTTCAGTGCACAAACTGTGACGCACAAGTACTAATAATGTCACCTAGTCGGATAATGAAACATCTGCAACCAAACAACCAAGCTAAGAGAACACCAAGGACCCTACAGTTTGGGGGCAATACAGTATTGGTATGAGAAAAGAGTCACATCTGGATCTTCTAATATGGCACCACCAAAGTTAATGTTGGGAAGATGCCATAACTGTATTCCTTCTTGTCAAGCAAATATTGGAGGATTCCCTACAATGAAACCTCACACAACATACGCAACCGTTGTCCTCTCTGCTTGTTCTGTTGCTGAGACTGAGGCTGAAGATATGGTTAAGGCCACTTTGTTTCCAGTCCCCAGAGGCTTCCCTTTCAGTACTGGATTGCAAATAATGAGAATATGCTTGAAATGTCAGCCTCATATGTAATTAACACATACTATGACAGGCTTTTGCATGTGATAGATTTAGAAAGGAAGAAAGAGAGGGAATGCTTATTTCAATTATTCAGTTATGCATAAAGTAATAAAACACAGAAAAATCATACTACAACAGCCTTCTGTTGCACAAATCATTGTTGTTGCTCTTGATGGTACAAATGCTTGCCTTCCAATTAAACATGCAGGCAAATGTGATCTATTTCTTACTAACACACGTCTTCTCTAAGACCCTGTAAGGGCATAAAGGGAACGCTCTGCATGCCATTAAAGTCAATAAAATTGAATGGCTTTTTGAACGTGGTAGCCTCTTTCCAAAGGCTGCTTAGATATTTTTCATTGTGTATTCTGCATAATGACAACACCCAGAAGTCTTAATTTAATGAAAGATTATGTTATCAGCATTTTTTACTTCAACGTTCAATTTGGCAGATAAAATAGGAACTGGAAATATACTAGCAGCCCATTCTGTAATGCTATAAGTCCTATAGTAATAGGGATTTCACTATATCTTAGGAATTATTTAAAGCTTACTTTTAATTGGGAAATAGGAAGCTGAATCATACACTTTTCATATCAATCAGAGTATATTGATGGATGTCACGGATCGTGATAATTAGAGCCAATAACTATCTTGTAGAGTGGCTATCTTGTAGAGCAGTGGTGGTGAACCTAGGGCACGTTTGCCAGAAGCGGCACTCAGAGCGCTCTCTGTGGGCACGTGTCGTCATACCAGCCCCACCTCCCCCTGCAGCCCCCTCCCCACCAGCAGTCCCCCCGGAGTCACCCCCGGGTGCGGCCCGTGCAGAGCAGCACAGCCAAGGATATGGCAGCTGGGCAGCAGGGAGAAGACTCCGACCTCGCACCCCATTGCACACAGATGATGCTGCAGGGTGTGGGTGGAAGGCGTGGCCACATGGAGCTGCAGGGCTG